ATGTTTATATTATATACTATTTGCTTCTGTATGCGTGCATTCCCAATGTCAATGCGGACAACGGTCAATGGCTTTGTACATCGCATTTGATATAAACGAAAAGCAGAAAAAACGAAACTTTTTTGCTCAATAACTAAAACAAATACAATTACAAAATAATCTCCACAAAAAGCATATATGAATACGTATGTATATACACTTGAGCTATTATAAGAGGGATTTTCCAGCACGCAGTATAAATTATTATTATWTAGGTTTATCCATTTAGTAAACTTCGAACTGCATTGACATTAAACAAATATTTTGTTAAAAGCTTTTGTTAAAGTACTTCATTTTGGCAGACAGGCATACCCTTACTAAAATGTATAAATAGCACTTAAAGCTCCCTAATCATTAATAATGATCATTAATAATTCGATATTTATCATTTATCGAAATTGGGCCTTCATCAAAATGCTCCACGTCATACGTGAAACCTTATTTATGGCATTTGCCTTTTGCATTTAAATACTTTCATAAATTTCTATAAATATAGAAATACTAGACGTCGCCATAATATATACTCTACTTTTTGTCACCCATGTACATATTGAAATGGAAATCAAAATCTTATCAATTATAGCCGCTTATAACCGGCTAATCTGTCTGTCAATCGAAACTATCAGCCAGTGATACAGCTAGGTGCTCCAAACGTCAACTCAGATCATTAACACCGAAACATTAGGGGTATCGCAGCTATTAAGTTAACGTGTTATCAACACACGATTGCGAATAATTAAAACCTGACGCTGACGTCATACACCAATGCGACAGACAGCAGAGCGCAGCGTGTTGACTGAACAAGAGGGAAACACACATACAAACGAGAAAGAGAAAACAAATAAAGAAAAGAAAATAAAATAAAAGAAGTGCAAAGTTTATTAAAGTTCAAGCGCTGCCCATTTCGATGCATTAACAAACAAATGATGTCATCCAATATTTTTTGTTCCCCCCTATTTCTTATTTGGGTTTACAATTTTAATTTAAATTTAATTTTATAAACAACACATATCAACTTTTTTTTTTTTTGGCTGTTGCGGCACGTTTGCTATGTAGTTGAGCGTTCAAATCACGTGATACACAATGTTTTGTATCGTTTTTCAACAAGTTAAATGTGTCAAAGACAATGAGTAAGAGCGATGGAAGTCGAAACTGAAATACACTAAAAAAAAGCATAGAGAATGCTAATTGATAAGTTAATTAAGAAGTGTTATATGATTTATACTATCAACCAATATCGTTTTTTAGCATATATTAAATTGAAAGCAATTATCATTTAAAATTGGATTAGCAGCTAAGAGCATTTTGTATATTAAATTCCATATTCATATGCCTTATAAAGCTCAAGTTACAATAGAACATATACAAGATTTGCAGTTATAAGAGGCGTCTTATGTAACACTCCATGCAAATGCACAGTTGCAATGCTCTCTGTCTCTCTCTCTCTCTCTCTCTCTCTCTCTCTCTCTCTCTCTCTCTCTCTCTCTCTCTCTCTCTCTCTCTCTCTCTCTCTCTCTCTCTCTCTCTCTCTCACTCAATTTGTAACGTCTTGTTATTCAAGACTCTATATGTACGTAATAATATGTGAAGCTCAACCACAATTACTCGACGTGCCAATTTCCGATTTAAGTTTTCAGTTTTCATTTTTCAGTTTTTAGTTTTTAGTGCTTTGCTATTTTATCGAGTGCAGCAACAACGGGCACATCAAATTACACGCCAATTGCTAGACAAATTAGTCGAATCGTTTGCTCTGGCCCATTGCCAACGGTTTTGCCAGTGTGACCACATCTAACCAAATGCGACTCGACTGCGTGCGTGTCGCTGCACTTTGGCATTTGATTTGGACTCTGCTATTTCAGGCGAAATTCCAATTTAAATATCTAAGATAAACAAATCACGCAGCTCTTAATGATTTCACAATTTGCCAAAAATTCTTGTATCTATATTAACATCATTTGGCTGGCCAATCCGATTTGCCTTTTGGGATTCTATTTCCGTTTTCATTTACCGCTTATGCTGCATTTTGTTGGCATTTAGCATTTAGCTGATTTGGCATAAACACAAACAATGGAAATAACTTGTTGTTGAATAATTGAAGTGGCCAACGATTCTGCTGATGACAGCAACAAAAATTGAGGCAAATTACATGCAGAAATAAGCAGATATACACTACTACTGCTCACAGTGTTGTAAAACAGCTCAAAACGAAAATTATTAAATTTAAGAAAACATTAATTATTTAATGTTTATTCCTTATAATAAAAACGAATATATCCCTTCTCACAACAGTAAGAGACATAATAACGAATGTGAAAAGTCAGCATATATAACATTTTGTTTCTCTTGTATATATGTATATGTTTACTGTAGGTTCTGTCTTGGTCAACTCTTGAGCGTATTTCCCGTTTGGACAACTTCTATAGATCTCCATTTGACTCAAGTGTTTATTTGCATTGGAGTGCCATCAGGCTATAAACATTATATATCTACTATATATGTATGGACGATTGATGACGATTTCAGGAAGTGAACAAATTTGTCATAAAACCGTTTGTTTGTAGGGCGAAATAACAAACAGAAATATAAGCAGAGAAGAGAACTGTTTATGAAAACCAGGAAGTCGTCAGAAGACTAAGTAGTGGGAAATAATAATAAAAACAAAATAAACGTGCATCGCCTTTTGAATGAGTTCGTTGAGATGGCGGTGCTCTCTTTGAGTAGGTAGTCGATAAGGAATATTTAAGTGGTTGGAAATTAAGCGTCAATTTACTAGGAAGTTATATAAGAGTGATTTAGGCAAATTTAGTTTAGTTGCCGAACAAGATTATTTAGAACAAGTTCCAAATATACATTTTTTAAATATATTAAAAATATTTGAAAAATGAAAAAAAAAAATTTTTATATTTTTTATGAGTATTATAAATTGTTCTAAAAATAAATAATATTTAATGTGGCTTTTTTAGTTTTTAGATTAGTTTCGAAATTTTGGACTATTTTTAATCTAATACAATTTTTTCAATTAATTCGTTTTGAAATTCTATTCGAAAAAACTTTCATAATTTAACGCAAATTTTTTCCCTGTCAGAACCTCATATTTCATCCCATTTCATATAAACTGCAAATCAAAACTGAACAATTAATAAGCAACCATTGTTCAGAGCATATAACAACCCGCATTCGAGGTTTCCCATTTAAACAGTTTTCTCATGCCTGAAGCTAAACAAAATTAAAAAATTGTAGTAAAAATAAAAACAAAACAATAGCCGACACAGCTGATAAAAATGCGAATCTCGCACTTTGAGTTAAGCGCCAAGAAAATATATAAATGATTGAAAATAAAAATAAATCAAAAAGGAAAAACAGAAAATGCCATAAAAAATGGCATTTCATGCGCCTTGTCCCTGACCCAATTAAAAAGTCAATCACTTAACGATATAAAAAGAAAAAATTAAAACTTAATAAGAAGGCGAACAAAAAGATAAAAAATGATCACAAAAGGGCAACAGCAACAACAAAAACAACAACAGCCACGAAATGCCAATTGTATGGTCCCTGTGCAAAGAAACTAAACACAGTTAAAAGCCGCAACTAACAAACCGGTTCGAGTGGCGCGGCAAGCGGGGCAAAAGCTGGCAGATGTAGACAAAAAGTTGTAGGAAGCCTTAAAGTGTCTGAAATGTCGCCAACTTGGCAGGCTTCGGCTTCGGCTTCGGCCTCAGCTGCAGCTGTAGTAACAGCGAGAGCGACAGCTACAGCTTCAACTAGTCAACTACAACTTCAGTTGGCAACGCGTGGCAATTGGCAACTTGCAACTTGCAACATTGCAACTTGGCAACTCATCTCCTGCAACAAGTTGCTCAACTGGACTCGGTAACGGGCCCAAACGCAATGGGGTCAGACGTGAAACGAAAACAGACTGAAAAACTTGGCAACAACAAGTTGATGTTAAAATACCCTAACCAACATATGTACAGGGTATAAAGGATTGACTTAATGTTTGTATTTGATTTTATGTAGTTAAAGATGCGAAAAATTTTTTTATTGCAAATTGTTGCTAGATTATGGCTAGGTTATATATAATATAGAGTACATATATTCCGCTGATTCAGTTATATATATTTTATTTAACAAGAAAATAAATATGCACAACAGATAACTTTCTAGCAGACACAGTTCACATAATTAGCTAAATAGGTGGGTAGACAAACAGTCTCTTGAAGCTGATAAGAAAGATCTATTAATCACATTTTATTAGAATATGAATACGGTGCATTAAGACCTATGTATATTTTATTAGCATATGAATAATACCGAGTCATCCTTCTATTTACTCAAGAGTACTGATTAGTAAGTCTAAGATCTAGCTAAGCTAAGTTTCTGTCATTAGCTTAAATTTCATTAATAAACTTAGCATATTTTTCATTTGTCATATGGCAATAGTTTATATTTAAATAGGTTTATAATCAATATAACCGCTTATGAAACCAAATCAATATTACGCTCAACAAGTGCATAAAAATAGACAAAATTGTTAAACAACTGCGAACTGATGCGTCTGGAGCTGATGTAATGCGGAACGGCGCAGCGACTTGGCACAGGAAGCATAACCTGTATCTACAAGTTATAAAGATACAATCACACAGAAAGGCAGACAGACAGACAGACAGAGTTATCTAAAGCTACATAATGGCAGCATATGACAGACAATTGCGATTCCAATTGAAAACGTCAATTTTTGGCGCCTGCAACGCCAACTGGCTGTACGACCTATATACACATGTATTTACACATATAAATACGCATATGTAACCAATAAATATTGATAGCTAATTTTAGCTATAAATTAGCTGCTTATGTCGCTAAAATTTCATTGCAAATTGCCTAAGCAATTGCAAAAAGGTGTTATAAATAGAAACAGGCACAAATCAATAACAACAGCTTCTACAGCACTGCAAAGTTGATTTAAAAAACTAATTAGCAGCCAGAGACGTTCAGCTGATAGGGCAGTTATAAACATACCTATACACATATATTTATATATTAAAATATGGTATGTATTAGGTATATATAGAGGATGTACAATAGACTTGTGAGATTTTTATTTGCACCGTTGGCAACAAGATTTAAGGCCCGAAAAGCGAAGGCAGTTTGTGAAAAGTGTATATAATCTTATCTATATATAACACAGAGCCAAGCTATAACAATAATTGCTAACAATAGCTCAACGTTGGGCAACCTTAACTTGCCTGTTAAGTGACTTAGTCACCAAAGTCTAACTAAAGTCAGTTATAAATCTGATTTTTAGCAGCATTATAGTGGGTCTTAATAAGAACCCAATAGACATTTACATATAGTAAGTAATTAGTTGACTTGAACAGATAAGTTACTATATAACTCTGACACGAGCTGAGCAAGATACACAAAGAGATAAACCACAACAGCAGACTTTTCTATTTATACATAGTATTGAGCTGCAATCAGTTAAAGCTATATTTAGCTTATCTCTACAGCCTTCCAATTACACGCTATGCAAATACTTACTCGGACTCTGGTAGAAAGTAATCGATGTATTTCATAACCACTTCCCTAACGGGATCCTGTTGTTTGCCCGAAATAGTTGGATACAAATCGAAATCCATTTTGCTTGAGCTATTATTGTTATTGTTATTATTATTATTGATATTATTGCTGCCGGCTTCAGTTTTCATTATTGAAGTGGACTAATGCGGGCTAAACGTTACACACTGTGCGCTGCTGTCGTTCTTTCGCTTTGTAAGTACCGCAATGTTCTTTCAGTCTAGTCGTATGATATGCACACATACAAATGCAAGTACTTTATATCTTTCCTCGTCTCTCTTACTATGCAATGTTTCTGTATTGCACACTGGGCGAGTGCCTTAGCAATTGTTGTTTTGCCTTTCTGACCTTTGTTTCACACAAAATTCCCAACTATTTTATTTTATTTTAATGCGTTCACTTTTGCGCCTCCCTTTCGTTTTATTTCTTTTTTGAAGCCCTTAGAGAGCTTTTATGTTTCTTTTTGCACTTTATTTCGAATTGTCTCGTATGACAACAACAGCTACGCGTGAAGAGAGCAGCTCTATTATTTTTATGTTGGCTGAGCGAGACGCGTTCACTGTGACGCTCTCCCAGCCACGTTATTCAGCAGAGCGGCACTTTCAATACAGTTGTATACGTATTCAGCAAGCAAGCGTGTTCTCTCACTCTCCGTCTTTATCGCTCTCAATTACTCTCTCGTTCTCTTTGCTCAGCGAAAGAAAATGTACAAAAATGCGCGCGAGACGATTTTTTTTGTTAAAAACTTTTAACTTTTAGTTGCAACTGCAGCTGTGTGCGCGTGTATGTGCGTATGCGTGTATGCGCATTTATTGTTTAACAGCTTAAAGATCAGTTACTATGCGCCACAGTTATTTAATTATTTTCTCTTTTTCTCTCGCTCACGCACAATTTAAACAATAGAAAAGCAGAAGGCGGCAAAACACTATTATTTTTAGCTTAAACAAACATAAAATAATGGAACGAGAAAAAAAATAATCAAACGCGATGCAACAAAAAACGATGCCAAGCAACACAACAAAAATTTTAATGTTATTTTATCGAGTCTGTGATTTTTTTCGTGTTTGCTGCGCCAGAGCTCCTCAGCATAACTGAACGTTCGCTTTTGGTGGGTCGCGCTTCTGTTGCTGTTGTGTTCCGTGAGAGCGCTCGCTGCGCTGCGCTCACAAAACAGACAGACAAAAACAGCAACAACAACAAAGACATCCAGGTTACAGCAAAGAAGAATAACAACAATAGCAGCAACAGCATTGGCAGCAGCAGCGACAGCGACAGCAGCGACAGCTTTTTGGTGGTTGCTTTTTGAAGTTGCGGCGAAGCTGAAAGTTTGCAACTAGGCGAAGCAAAAGGGCAGCGCTGCAGAGGCAGAAGCAGAGACATCGACAGCGGCAGAGCAGTGGCTGCTCAAGCGGAGCTTGATGTTTAGTTCACAGCTGCAGCATGAAACTGAACGAAAGCTATGGGCTGACACACACACACACTCACATATAAAAGCATGTGTACGTACCCTCATGCATAGGGCCACGCCACATTTGTGGCTCGTGCTCAAAACAAACAAAACAAAAAAAAAAAGGCGCGTGTAAACAAACAAACAAATCAACCACAAACAACAGGAAAAAATGCCCAAAAATAAATCTCTTTTTTTAATGTAAGACAATTTTTGTCTGAGCAGCGTACAGCTCTCTCGCACATACCCACACACACACATGCAAAGCACAAAAAGCAACATGGCTGCTTGAAAAGCTTTTGCAGCTGAATAATGCAAGTGACGAGAGCGTAAACAAAACTTTGTCAGCAACAAGCGAGAGAGTAAGTACAAAATGAGAGCGGCAACGGCGCACGCACATTTAACGGCAAAGAACTTTTTGAAATTCAGTGAAGCGTCACAGCATCAACAATAGTCAACAAAAACAACAGCAACAACAACAACAGCAACAACCACACGCGAAGTCACTTCAGGCTGACAGGTTGCCACGTTGTTGAAAAGCGAGGGAGGAAAATATAAAATCAAACTAGACGTGCAAGCAGCAAAGTTAACATAGAAGAGCAGAGAGGGAAAGTAGCAGAGACGGAGGGCGGCTGCTGTCAGCTATTGTCTGCCTGTGCACGTAGATCAGCTGATTCGCTTTATCTGGGACGCTTTGTTCGAGTGAGAGGCGAAAGCTTTTTATGCTTCGCGCAGGGTGTAAACAAACTGCTTGCACCGTGGTACAACATTATTATTTTCGTGTGTACGACAAATTTGCTACTCAGGTTTTTGATGACTTGCTTTGTTCTCTAGATCTCCTAAAACTTATTTAAAGCTTACCATACAGTTTTTATACAAATGGGATTAATGTTCAATTCGTTTGTGAAACTCACCTGCAAAGAGAAAGAAAGGTGGAAAATTGCATTTAATAAACATATCTAATACAGCTATGAAATATTTAAACATACGTAAGCATAATTGCAGATATGGACGTATGTATATATGTATATTCCCCATCTTCCGAAAAGCTCTCTTTAGGCCTAACAATTTATTTAATATTTCTCTTTTCTTTTCTTTTAGTTTGTTTCTTTTCGCAACTTTGCTTTTTACGAGTTAGGGGCAACGCCAACAACAATTTCGAAACCCCATTAAATGTTGAAAATTACTGCCGGACACGCAGACGATAAAATGCTTAAGAGTGAAAATGTGCGTAACGCTTGCAATTCAGCTGAAAATCAGATATATGTACATATCTACAAATAAATATATATACATTTTTTAGAGATCAAAATTGCTCGTATTAAGGGCACTGTTAAAACGGGTTACAAAAAAAAAAATTATAA